CTTTCCAGCTTCCTAAATGAATGTTCGCATTGTTATAAACTTTCCTCTTAAAAATTGCTTTTGCTATGTCCCATATATTCATTCTCATTTGTTTCCAGGAATCTTTGTATTTCTTTTCTCATTTCCTCTTTGATAACAGTAGTGGCTCAGTAGTGAGTTATTTAGTTTTCAAGCATTTGAGTTTTTTCTTCATTTCTGTTTGTCAAATAATTCATAAACCCTAGGGTCTGTCTCTATTAAATTGGTGTGAAATTATTTTTATTCCAGTACCACATTGTCTATAGCTTTATTGTTAAAGCCAGGAAAAGAAAAGCCTCCCATCTTTTTTTCTACAATTACTTTGGCTATTTGGCAAGGTTTATTAGTCGATATAAATTTCAATAGCATTATGTAACTATTTTCCTCCAGATCTTTTAGCAGTTTTTTTAAATATCTTGATAGTACATCATTAGTATCATACATTTTTAGGAATGTTAGTTCCATGAGAAGAGCAGAAGTACTGGTAGATGCGGCAGAAGCCGGGAAAAGTATTCGTAACGCCCGCCTGTCCTTCGCCAACTATAAGACCAAGATGACTGCCCTCCGACGTCCTGATGGATCCATCACATCCTCCAGAACGGCAATGGAGAAGATTATCCATGACTTCTACTCAAATCTCTTCGATAGCCATGTCCACTTACCGACATACCAAATTCCACAGGATGGGTATGTCGTTCCCAACGTTCTCCCTTCCGAAATCCGACACGCCATTTCGTCAGTAAAGAAGCAAACAGCACCCGGCCCAGACAAGGTCAGACCTGAACACCTGAAGAACCTGCCGTCAGTACTCATCAATACACTGGCTCGGCTCTTCACTCGCTACCTGTCTGAATGCAAGGTTCCATCTCAATGGAAAACCAGCAGGACCGTACTACTGTTCAAGAAGGGAGACATCCATGACATTGGCAACTATCGCCCGATCTGCCTATTGTCTGTCATCTACAAGTTGTTCACTCGAGTCATCCTGAATAGGATTGGCAGAACACTAGATGAAGGACAACCATGTGAGCAAGCAGGGTTCCGCAAAGGATTCAGCACCATCGACCATATCCACACGATAACCAAACTCATTGAGGTTTCTCGGGAGTTCAAGATGCCGCTCTGCTTAACGTTCATTGATTTAAAGAAGGCCTTTGATTCTGTTGAGACGGAAGCGGTCATTGAAGCCCTAGCCAATCAGGGCATACAAGCCCAATACATCAGGATCCTCCGTGAGCTGTATTGCGGATTCACTACCAGGATCTCACCATTCTACAAAGAAGTGATCGTTGATGTCAAGAGAGGGGTGCGGCAGGGTGATACCATTTCACCAAAACTCTTCAGTGCCACCCTCGAGAACATCATGCGACGACTGGAATGGGAAGGAATGGGAGTGAAGATAGATGGTCGGCAACTACACCACCTCCGCTTTGCTGATGACATTGTTTTAATAACACCAAACATCAGCCAAGCGGCACAAATGCTGGCCGACTTTGACCGTGAGTGTGGAAAGGTAGGACTACAGCTGAATCTTACGAAGACAATGTTTATGAGAAATAGCCTTGTTCCTGACGCCCCATTCGCTCTCAATGGAACGACCATCTCCGAATGCAACAGCTATGTGTACCTAGGTCGAGAGGTCAACATGACAAATGACCTGGCACCCGAGCTGCGCAGGAGGAAGAGAGCGGCTTGGAACGCCTTCAAGAACGTCGAAGAAATAGCTAAGAGGACGAAGAACCTCCGGCTCTGGGCACATCTCTTTGATTCCACTGTTCTTCCTGCATTAACATATGCCTCAGAGACCTGGGCCCTACGCAAACAAGATGAGAACGCCATTCAGGTCTCCCAAAGAAGAATAGAAAGAGCTATGCTTGGAATATCACGTTTCACTCAAATGAGAGAACGAATCCGGAGTTCTGACATCCGTCGACGATCAAGGATCAGGGACGCTGTCTCATTTGCCAAGGTGTCGAAAATCAGATGGGCTGGTCACGTAATGAGATTTAAAGACGACCGTTGGACTAGAGCTGTTACTGATTGGATTCCACGGGATGTCAAGAGACCGCGTGGCCGCCCACCTACCAGATGGTCAGACTTCTTTGTCAAGGTCATGAACGATCGGTTTGAGGCCCTCCATGTTCCCGGAGCGAAGAGATACCATTGGGCTACACTAGCACGCGACAGGGACAAATGGAGACGTTACTGGCGCCCGCTCGAGCAAATCGACGACTAACGGGAAGTTAAGTGATTAAGTGATTAAGTTCTTCATCATGTACATATGCCTTGATTATTAAAATTTACTGGCCCTGTGACAATTTACCACAATAAAGCTGATTGGATTCAACCTCTGTCCAGCAAGGGTCATTCACAGAGAATGAGACAAACACATAAGGCTGGCCAAGTTTTAGGGACACTTAAGCAGCCATGAGAGAGCTGATAGCTTGATGTACCTGAGGGCAGCCAGGGCCATTTCAGAGTCAGTGGGTTCACTTGAAGAGATGTAAGTGTGTACTGTGGGAGGTGTTGTGTAGAGAGGTATTTTCAGGTATGACCCCAAGACCGCTGAACACCACAGTAAAATCCCTATTTTTTTTAATGTGAAAACATGGACTGACATGTTTTGGGGAGTTTGTGGAAGATTTAACGTTCTTAACCTAAGCACATACATTCTCTTTATTTTAAATCATTCCATACAGCTAAATAGGCAAAATCTAGCATCAATTTCAATATACAATTTTTATTTTTATAATTATTGGGCTGGAGGGATAGCACAGCAGGTAGGGCATCTGTCTTGCACGCAGCCGACCCAGGTTCGATTCCTCCACCCCTCTTGGAGAGCCCGGCAAGCTACCGAGAGTATCTTGCCCACACAGCAAAGCCTGGCAAGCTACCTGTGACGTAGTCAATATACGTCACAATAACAATAACAACAAGTCTCACAATTTGTTGTGAGACATTACTGGTGCCTGCTCGTGCAAACTGATGAACAACGGGAGGACAGTGACAGTGATTATTATTATTATTTGCTTTTTGGGTCACACCCAGCGATGCTCAGGGGTTACTCCTGGCTCTGCACTCAGGAATTACTCCTGGTGGTGCTCAAGGGACCATATAGGATGCTGGGAATTAAACCTGGGTCGGCCATGTGAAAGGCAAACATGCAAGGCTATGCTATCACTCCAGCCCCTAGATATAATTTTTAAACCACTGTCATTTATTATTGATTCTACAAATCAAAATTGTAGAATTGTCATCTTGATGAGTTGTTACTTCTGCTACAATTGAAAAGTAAAGGAATAAGAAAGCCCTGGTCCCACTCTAGGATTGTCTCATCTCAGCTGCTATCTACTTATCAGGAAGCTATTCAGGGTTCAGCCTCAAGACCCAGTAGTTGCTTGGATTCATATTAGCACCATAAATGCCTCGTACCTGTCATATTTCTCCCAGTTTAACCAAGTTCCATTGTAAAATCTTGCTTTTACACATTAGCTTTGATTAACTAAATCAAATCTGGACCTCTGAGTATAGTTAGGGAAAGGTAGTTTTCACTTTCTGGCCTCTACTGTCAGAAAAACAAATCAGAAATATAAATTGGGAAGCAAACCAATCAGAATTTAAACACATTTACCAAATTACATATAGCTTGACTATTTTTCCCCATCCCTCCTTTAACTCAGACCCCTATACTATAGCATTATTTCCAGAAAGAGCTCTTTGTTTCCTCTATCTCTCCAGACTAACCACTGCCTTCACTCCATAATTCACAAAGTATGATTGTAAAACTCACAGGACCTGCTCAATCTCCTTGCTTTGGTACCCGCTTAGTTCTTTTAGTCCCCCTACTTCTCCTATTTAGGATGCTCTACGTTCTGCATTTAGCACCGCACTCCTGTCTGTGAACTCAGCCTCGACGATCTAATGCTGTGGTAGATCTGCCATGTGGAGATAATCTCACAAAACATACCACCAGCTGTAAAACCTTTCCCAAGAAACAGATATAGATTTCCAACTGCACCCTGAAAGTATTCTGAATGTCACAAAGCACCACCAACTTGTGCATGCCATACGAAATTCATTCTTTAATTACAAATCCATTCATTCCCCTGCATGCTTAGTCTGTATAAACTGCACAACTGTAACCCACTTGTCAAAGGTAGAGCTCTCAGAGTCAATATGATCCTCCTTCTTTTCTTTCTTACTTCTACATCCAAACTGTCTTTAAGGTCCATGAATGCGTGGGATATTATTACCTGAACTACTACATTTAATAAATACTCTTTTTGTGTGTTTTAAGGCAGGTTTGGAAATTTCTTCTGGGAGGGCGGGGTGGTTTTTAGGCCACACCCAGCCATGTTCATGACTTACTTCTGGCTCTGTGCTTGCAAGTCCCCCGAGTATACCCTCAGTGCCAGATATCAAAGCATATTAACTCTCTCTCTCTCTCTTGCTCTCTCTCATTGTCCGTCTCTCTCTCTCTGTCTCTCTCGTTCACATTTTTCTTGTATGTTGTTTGGTTTGGTTTTGTGTGCTGGCTATCAAATGCAAAGCCCTGTATACAATGAAAGTGCTCCACCTCTGAGTCATCTCTGTCTCTAACAAACTCTATTGGATTTGGTTCGGTTTGTTTGCTTGCTTTCTTGCTTGCTTGGGGGCCACACTTGGCAGTGTTTACACTACTCTTCACTCTGTATTTTGGGTCACTTCCAGCAGTATATGGTTCTTGAGGATCATGTCAAACTGGTGCCAGGGACCACATCTGGGCCTTTCACATGCACAGCATGTTCTCAGCTCTTTGAACTCTCTCTCTCTCTCTCTCTCTCTCTCTCTCTCTCCCTCTCTCTCCCTCTCTCTCCAATTCAGTACACACTCTCCAGAAAAATACCAAAATACCTCAATAATGCTTTCTAACATTTTATTAGAAACTCGTTTTGTACAACAATGAAGTCAGATCAAAGTAACATTTTATAATAACAGCATGGACTGCTTTCTTACATAATTTAATAAATCCCAGGATATTTCTAAATTGGATCAAAGATCTTGAGTGGTTCAGAAATCTTCCTACATCATTTGAAGTAATCGTCACCATTTTCGGGTTGGTTCCAAAAATCCTGGGAATGTGTCTTTAAAATATGTCTGTCCTTTGGATTGGTTGCATTCTGGGGGAAGTCAAGAAGGACAATATGGAGAACTTACTGCAGGATCCAGGCAGAAGGACAGAACTCCCTAGTATGTGGCACACCAGGGGATGGAGGTTAGAGATCCTAGAATTAGGGCAGGGAATTCAGCCACCTGGTATTTTCCAACATTGCTTGAATATCTAAGCGAGACTACTCAGAGTTCGAGCATCTGCTTTGGAAGTCCAGTGCAGAAAGAAACCCACTGCCCATGCCAGCTCCCTTGAGAGTGCCAAAAATAAAGAAGCCTACCCTACATTAAATAGGGGCAAAGATTCTGGCTGAAGAAACTCCTGAAAATTTCCACCTTATCTACTCCTCAACTTGCTCCATCTCCACACCGAGCTCAATCTTCTCCTCATTAAGAAAACTTGAAAAAAGAAAAGTCTTTGAGCCACTGTAGTTTGGGGTCCTTGGAATGAGGATAGAATGCTCTTCACTTGTTTTGAAAAATGGGGCTCTGGTATAACCACTCTTCCACTCGCTCCACCTTGAAGACCATCACCAGCAAATAGGTTATTTGGTTTTTCAAAGCTTCTTAGCATTCGGCATAACACTGCCTATCAGTGGTGGCTTTAAATGCTCACAAACAACTCTACTAAGTCACTAATTTCAAAACTCTATGAGGTAGGTAGGATAGGGATCATGATCTCCATTTGGAAGATAAAGAAGTAGGAACTCACAGAATCATGTCGCTTGACTGAACCTACACTACCAGCCAGTGAGAGAATCAAAACCAGAACAAGGCTCTCCTCTTACATATCACACTCCAGAGTCCACATTCCCAAGGCCTTCCTGCTTAGTTTTGAGGGAGAAGAGACTGAGGGAGTCTATGCCATCCTCATTCGTCACCTGCCCCTCCTTGGGAAGCAGTCATACGGGTCCATTGAGAACAGGATGAGTTCGCATGCGGTAAATGATGACTGCCATCGCTGGGCACAGCAGCAAGGACGTCATGATGACAATGGTGGCCAGGATGATAAGGATAATGACCCAAATATCCAAGATGTGCTTGGGGAGCATAGCTTCCATGGGAACCTGGCTGACGGTGTCCATTCTTCTCCACTCTGCAACAAACAGAAAAGAATAAATAACCACTCAGCACCATCTGCCTACCTACCCTATCAGCTACAAACCTGGTCAGTGGATAAGAAACTTGCCACTCACCAGCCATGTGATCTTTGAGATTGCTCCATCAGGTTCAAGAAGATAGCTCAAAGGCCTGAGTATGTGCTTTGCATGCAGGAGGCCCAAGTTCAATCCCAAGCACCACATGGCCCTCCATGCACTACTAAGAAGTGACCCCTGCAAGCACAGAGCTGGGGATAGCCCCTGAACTTATAAGGTGTGGCCCAAACAACAAACAATAGGTAGATATAAATATTTCTCAGTAGATAATATTAATAACCTCTTTTACTAAAGGCATCCTCTGTGCCAGGACCTGGGTAAGGCACATGGATATGGACTCACTCAGCCCTCAGTCCTACCACAAAACCCCTGAAATAGAGGCTCTAGATTTTTATTCCCTTCTATTGATTGGCTTTTATATTGAATTATTATCAATTTATTCATTGCAAAAGTCTTAAAACATGTAGATGTATCCAGTTTGCTCAAGGAAAGTGAAGTCATATGGATAAACTCCCAAAGACTCCATACTTATCTATTATACAGATGCTTATAAGCAACTGTTTACTCATCTATAAAATGGGAAATTCGGTGATTTGGGTCCTTATCCCTTTCTCTGTTCTCCTGGTATCAGAACCTCCTTTCTTTCATAGTATTAATTCATTCCATGAAGTTTAGTTGGGGTGAGCACTGAGCAGTGGGATAGATAGTGATCTGAGTTTGGCCATCATAAATCTCTATCAGTGCAATACAGAGATAAGCAAGGATCCAAGCTGTCTATAAAAGTGATTTTATACGAAAGTCACAGGAAAAAGTTATTCACTCTGCTCGAGCTGCTAAACTAGAATAGTCTGAGTCTGAGAAGGGAGGACCCGAGAATATCTCACCCATGTGTGCAGAAGCTGTCCCAGAAATAAAAAGACAAATGGAGTCTTGGTGACCTCATATGACCAGTCCAAGTTGATGCCATCTAAGGCTTTGGACATGCCAGATATATATAAATGAGTAGATCCTTGTGTTTTCCTTCACCAGTGTCAGTTTGGTTTGTCCCACTAGTAGTAAAAATTATGAATAATAGCACTGTAGCACTGTCTTCCTGTTGTTCACTGATTTGCTCGAGCGGGCACCAGTAATATCTCACAACAAATTGTGAGACTTGTTGTTACTATTTTTGGTGTATCGAATACTTCACAGGTAGCTTGCCAGGCTTTGCCATGCGGGTGAGATACTCTCAGTAGCTTGCAGGGCTCTCCGAGAGAGGCGGAGGAATCGACCCCGGGTTAAGCTGCATGCAAGGAAAACACCCTACCCGCTGTGCTATTGCTCCAGCTCGATGATGAATAATGATGTAAATCAATTGATTCCAAACTTTTTAAATTCAGAAGTACTCTTCTTCCTAGTAATTCTCACAGTTCTTCAGGTCAAAAGAAATCCCAGGTAGTTCCAGTTATTTTGTAGTTAGGTTAAAACAACTTAATGATCATAACTGGAAAAAATAAACTTTTACTGAAAAAATAACATGCCCAAATTGAAAGAATATTTTTATGATATTTTTACTCAGTTACTTAATGGGGTAAAGAACTACACAACTTCTGAAACTCTGGAATCACTTGGACAATGTTATTCTCACTTCATATTTCACATTCATTTGTGAAATACTTGCTGTATCATAGCAACTGTCCAAAACTCAGCATCACATATAGCATCACCAAAAATATAGTAAGAGTAACAAACATGTTACATTCATAAATCCTAGGTTTTTTAATCCTAGTACCACAAAAATAATAATATTAAGCTGTAAATTACTTTGAGCCAGTAGTTTTCACAGTGGCTGAAAGATTTCAAACATCATTATTCATGTCAAAAAGTTTGAAAATATCACAGCCCCCAACGCACACACACACTCACACACACACACACACACACAAACGCCTTTCTAGTGAGTTCATTGTGGTTCTCAAGGACTCAGATCAGAACTTGCTAACCACAGACATAACACCTTCCTCTGCATATGATATAAACCTAGTACAATCGGTTTTGGTTCCCTGTGCTACAAAGATCTATAATTTTTTTTAAGATCTACAATTCTGAGAGTTGAGACCTCAGGGAAAATTCTCAATTCCAGTTCTATTCCCTCAACAACTTTTTCTTTTAGTGGCTTCAAGCCCACGATTATATAGGTAGATGCTGATTAACATAACCAAAGTACAGTCCCCACGATAGACAAAGACTTTTGTTTCTGTGACTATTGTTAGAGCAACCAACACAAAATTACTCATAAATAGAAAAATAAAATAGAGTGTATCCATGTAATGGAGTATCCTGTAGCAATTTTCATTCATTCACTCATTAATTTAAAAATTACATAGCTCTTGCCACATAAACATAACCCCAATTTTCTTGCAAACACCAATTTATTTAATAGTTCTTAAAAGTAATGACTATCTGTGGTGTTCTTCGAAATATTTTAAGTGTTGGCACTGGAGCAATAGCACAGTGGGTAGTGTGTTTGCCTTGCATGCGGCCGACCTGGGTTCAATTCCCAGCATCCCATATGGTGCCCCAAGCACCGCCAGGAGTGATTCCTGAGTGCATGAACCAGGAGTAACTCCTGTGCATAGCTGGGTGTGACCCAAAAAAGAAAAAAAATATTTTAAGTGGAAAAAGTTAAGTTTAGGACAATGTGTATATGATCCTTCTGCTTCATATTTTGCAGGATTAATTAGTTACATAGAAGAGTACATACAAGTTAAAAAATCTTTGTGCAAGGGAAGGCCCTGCCTCAGAAGCAGGTAGGAATGGGGGGATGGGGGGTGGGAGGGATACTGGGATCCGTGATGGTGGAAAATGGGCACTGGTGGAGGGATGGGTATTTGATCATTGTATAATTGAAACCCAAGCACAAAAATTTGTAAGTTTACAACTGTACCTCATGGTGTTTCACTAATAAAAATTAGAAATAAAAAATCTTTGTGCATCGACTCTTATGTAAGAGTTAACAGAAATTTCTTTCGTTGGAGTAAGAGTAGAAGAAGATTTTGCTTTTCATTCTTCATGGTTTAGTACTGCTTATAGTCTTTAAATGTGATCTTGGGCTCGCTCTTCAAGTCCATGTTCTCCCTTGAACATGTATCTCCCTTGCTTGTCTCTGTTTCTTTGCTTGCCCATTCCCACTCTGGAGAAGCCTGTGTTCTCTTTTGTATACATACTGCTCCCTCATTCTTATAGAAACTTGATTCTAAATTAGTGTCCTATTTCTTGTAATTTCTTTTAAAAAAAAAAAGTATCTTGCTTCTGGGCGTATGGTGCCGCCAGCAGGTCAATCTGTACCTGTGAGGCGAGTGCATCAGCAGCCTGATGGCACCTTCAGACTTCCAGATACCCCAAAAATCGCTGCTGTCAGGTTTGGGGCCGCAGTGTCGAGACACGCGGGGCCTCACTGGATGGGGGTGGAGCCAGCCCTGTCCTCCCCATCCCAACAAGACCCCAAGTCCCAGCCCACGAACAGCCTCTCTGGTTCCTGATCAAGCTGCTTAGCAGTCATTATCCCAGAGACTCAGAAACAAATCTCGCAACCCAGTGGCTCTTGGCAGAAATCCCTCCATATTTAATTGTTAAAATTTTAGAATTTCAAATTTGTGCAAGCACTACTGCAGCCATATGTTAATCATAACCAGCAATAGAAAACAAATTGTCTACTGTTGCCTTTTCAGCAGATCTGAGTGTTGGGGTAAAATCCCAAATAATAATGGTGGATCTGGTGTCAAAATATGCAATGTAATCAAAGTAGAGAGAGAGTAATGTGGAAATCATCTTCCCCACAGGTAGGGGGAGAGTGTGGGATGGGGGTATACTGGGGTTTTTGGTGGTAGAAAATGGGCACTGGTGAAGGTACTGGTATTTCATTGTATGACCGAGACTTAAACCTGAAAGCTTTGTAACTGCTCTCACGGTGATTCAATAAATAAAATTATTAAAAAAATGGAAAAAAGTAAGGTGGAGCTCATACCCAATTTAATCAGCTAATCAGTGGCTGAATAAATAGCAGTACTCCTACATAAAAAAAAAAAGTATCTTGCTTCACCAAAAAAAAAAGTGAGACCCTGCATTACTTTCAATTTTTGTTAACATAACCTGTGTGGAAGGAGAAAGAAAGAAAGAAAGAAAGAAAGAAAGAAAGAAAGAAAGAAAGAAAGAAAGAAAGAGAAAAAAGAAAGAGAGAAAAAAAGAAAGAGAGAGATAAAGAGGGAGGGAGGGAGGGAGGGAGGGAAGGAGAAAAATAAAAGGAAAGAAAGAGGGAAGGAAGAAAGGGAAAGAAGAAGAGGAAAGGAAGGAAGGAAGGAAGGAAGGAAGGAAGGAAGGAAGGAAGGAAGGGAGGAAGGGAGGGAGGAATGGAGGGAGGGAGGGAGGGAGGGAGGGAGGGAGGGAGGGAGGGAGGGAAGGAAGGAAGGAAGGGGAAGGAAAGGGAAGGAGGGAGGGAGAGAGGGAGGGAGGGAGAAAAATAGAAGGAAAGAAAGTGGGAAGGAAGAAAGGGATGGAAGAAAGAGGGAAGGAAGGAAGGAAGGAAGGAAGGAAGGAAGGAAGGAAGGAAGGAAGGAAGGAAGGGGAAGGGAAGGAAAGGAGGGAGGGAGGGAGGGAGAAAAATAGAAGGAAAGAAAGTGGGAAGGAAGAAAGGGATGGAAAAAAGAGGGAGGGAGGGAGGGAGGGAGGGAGGGAGGGAGGGAGGGAGGGAGGAAAGAAGACACACACATACATAACCTTTAAATAAAATTAAACTATGAAACTAGATTAGTGGTCAGCAAATGCCATATACTGAGCTTAGTGAGAGTTTCAATGGGACATATTGTATGCAATCAGATTCATCTATCCCAGTCCAGACTTACTGAATTTTCCAGAAGAGGTGGGGAAAATCTTCTTCTCTCATTTCCCAAGTTTTCTGAAT